GGATTTGCGTCAATGTTGTAGAGCAATTAAAGGATATTAGCTTTGGGCTTGCTTTAGGTTTTGTATTCTCTTTCTCTACCGGAAAACTCTAAAGTTTTAGTGTTGGGTTTTTTGGGGTTTTTTTTGTTTGTTTGTTTGGTTGGTTTTTTTTTGGTTTGTTTTTTCTTTTTTCTCTTTTAAACTGGCTGTATCATTTTAGATAACTGACTCTTGAAGGCTATCAAAAAGTAAATAATATTAAAAACCTGTCTCTCAAATTTATGTCACTGGAATATTTATTATACTATAGCACAATTTTGAATTTTGGTGCTTTAATGTGATATTCCTGTATAAGGTTGTAAATGATACATGCCGTAATGACCTTACACCTGTATCTTTTGAAACCATCAAATTTTGAGCCGCCAAACATACATACCTGTTTATTGCAACATGACTAGAACTTTGCTGTGTGCTTACTTGAGCCATAGTCCATAGCCAGTTGTTTCCTTAGTCCTTGACTTGAGAAATGTTATGGTGTTCTAGGAAATATGAAGGAATGAAAAGAACAACTTTATATATTTAGGTTTGGGGTTTATTTTTTAATATCAAACAAGCTTGCAACAACAATAGTTAATGTCCATTATACATTTTCAATTTTTTATATTAAAACATTATTGATTTACACTTTTATTTAGCTCATGTAAAATACAATTCCTTTGATTTGATATGTTTTAACATGTAAACCAGTTGAAGAATTCTTGTTATGCCCTCAATTAAATAGTGGGCTATAAAGTTTGTGTGTGCTTCAGAACTGTGATATGTTCCAATTTTAATACAACCTCTTCAGAAAACACTGACCTGAAAGGTTCCTCTGGTGTGTTCTATCTACAGGTTAATCACGAAGTCAGAATTTTGCCAATTATTTAAGAAAAAAAAGTTTTAATGCAAGTTAATATGATCTTTCTTGTTTATGTTCACTATGTATATTATGCCCGCTGGAATTTACTCTGGGGAAGGAGAGAAGGCTCAAGAATCATAAACTGGTCTGTCCTTTCTTTGCAGTAGCTGCAGCTGTCCTCTCTATGATGAGAAACATGATGAAGATATATTACTGACCTTGCATCTAAGCAGATATAGAGAGGCCTTTGGCCAGGATTCTCAAATTTGGGAGGTTAAAATTAGATCCTTTAATCCATACTGAGGTGCCTAAGTAAGTGTCTCAACTTACCTTTTACTCCTATTAAAAGAAAGTGAAAAGCATATTTGAAAATCAAATTGTAGTACTTATGTGTCCAAAGATATTGGTAGAAGCTTAATGTTGGACTCCAGAGTTTAAAAATTTTGGCCTTTATGTTTTAAGATACTGTGAGCACACTCCCAAATGACGCAGAGTATGGTTTGGTGATCCAGCATTACCTGCTGTTATGGTATGCTTAGGAGGAAGGTCCCCCCAAGTCTGTTCTCACCTTTTAGTGTTCATATACTGTTGTGTCTATTTTCAGTCTGTTTGTATCCTCCTATTGCTGACTGTGGCAAGTATATTTGTTAATGCAAAGGCTGGTGTAGACAATAAACTCCAGCAAAAACATGTTTCAGGCTGGAATATAATGAATTTCTAAAATGACTTATAGGAAAGAGCAGAGTAGTCAAGGCAAGGAATTATTGACTAGGCAGTCAAGTTAAGTTCATGAGGAGATGACTGCATTTTTGTTTTTACTGAGGACAAAACTTCATTTCAGCTATGCAGACCTACTGGCTAGGTGCTGGTGAAAGGAGCACTCCTGGTCTCTCTTCATCCCTGGCGATGTGCTGCATGCATGAAAACATCTGACAAGCCAGTTCAGGAAGAAAAACAAATATTTTCCTGGGTTAGCTTTACAAACTGGCTTGCCCAGCAATGAAACGAGAAGCAGCAGAAATGGTCTTTTTGGTTAATTTAGTCAGAATGTGGAAACCTCACCTGGACGTATGGCCAGTGTATCTCCTAGGGAGCAGAAAAAAAGAACAAATTACACAGGGAGCAATAAGTCTGGGGCATTTTGAAGACTTACAAGGGGAAATGAATTTTAGTGGCTAATGTACTCTACTGAAGGAGAGGATGCTTCCTGAGAATGGTGTTCTCTAATGAGGAGATTTTCTGTAATTAATATATTAACATGAGATGCAGAAACATACACGAAGAAGGGGATTCAGAAGGTTGTCTTACCAGATACAGAGCAAGCTAGCTCGTTCAAGGAGTGATTTAATGTAAGTTTAAAGTGCTGTTTTTCTGTCATTCCTTTCATATTTTAGAAACACTTGTAATATGTTTTATATTTTTCTGTTGCATTTTTTTGGCATTTCATCCCAGCTGGTATTAAGTTCTGTATACTTTTAAAGTTACCAGATATTAACAAGCAATTGATCACCCAATTTTTGGCAAGTCTATAAATGTGGCAGTAACATAGCAGGTACCTTACTTTAACCTTTCAGTTGTCTGGAGAACATGCTAACAGAGCTGCAGAGGTCATTTGGAGGATTTTGTGGTAACTGTCAGGCACCCTGGCATATAGCAGGGTACTACAGTAGATATTTCCATGGGGAAGTGTCATAGCAAGCATTAAGATTCCTAGTGCAGCTGCCCTATCTCACAAAGAATTAATCTGCTTGTCTAACAATTTACAAAGTTTCACTTTCTTTACTTTACATTGGCAGATTTTTCTGAAAATACTGAGTATTTTAGGCTCTTGCAGAAATGTGATCATGCACCTCTGTCTGACTCAGGACAGGTCTGCTGCTGAGTGACCTGGTAGTGCACAAATCTGGTATGAGTTATGAAACAGATTTTTAAGGATATGCCCTGTCCTCCTGAGCATGGTAGTTATGGTAGACAGAAAAGGGGAAAAAAAGTAAAATTGAAAATAGAAATTGTAAGAGCTTATCATCCAAGAAATGCAAACTTTGTAACAGTGAGAAAGTCTAGGGAAAGGTAAGTATCAACTTCACTTGAATGTAGTTATAACTTTTGCTAGTTTAATGATCAGTAGCTAGTGGCATGAGAATATTCCTTTTCTATTTAGTCCAATAGAAGGTTTCACAAATAAATTTAATAATTTCAGTACAGTGAAAGTTATCTACAGTTCTTGGGACTAATAATGTAAAAAAAAAAAATCACTGAAATTTTCAAGAAAAAATGTGAAATGGCTTCTGATCGCAAAGTGAGCTTCTTTGCAGAATTTTGGTCCATGATAGTTGAATTACTCTTTAAAATTGCAGCTTACAGTTGTGATCCAAAATGCACCTAAGTTGTGTATCTTCCTGTATTTTAGATATCTTCATGATGGGATTTTTGCTTTTCAGTTTTTGTGCTGTATCATACGTTTACAGAGTAGCGATGCATCTCTTCCTTATAGTATGTTTGAGGTCAAGCTTTAATTTCCTTGTATCAAAATTACCATAATGAGCCTTTTGTTTAGTTTAAATTTTTTTATATGCATACCATCCTGTGATAGAAAACCTTAACACAGCTTACTGAGACACTTTTACTTTGCACTGAAAACCATTATATGTGTAGTGTAACTAGCACCGGAAATGTACTGCTTTCCTGATTAGTTGTTTTTCTGTACTAATACTTATTCTTTTATACCATGTTGTTTTAAAGTCTCTGGACTTTACTGCACTAAAACTGGAACGAGTCTTTGATGATGTCAGTTTGCTGTCTTTTACAGAGATCTTTTGCTGAAATCAAATAATTAGGCTAATTTGAACTATAAATAGTACTTTGACATGAATTTCCTGAGTTACTTGTTGGACAAGTCATGTACCCTTGAATTGGTTTTACCTGCTGTATCCTTATCTATGTGTTGCATTTGGATTAGTCATTAGCAAATAGTGGAAAGACGTTTAACATCCAAAACAGAGGTATACTAAGTGTATCACTCTTGCACGTGACGCTTATTGCTGTTAATGTTAGTCTTGAAAAGGGAGAGTCAGTTTTGAGAGGAGAAAGCTTGGGCAGAGACTGATGTCAAGAGAAACAAGCATACCGTTAAGACTGACAAGCTCCTTTGTAAGAGTGAGAGAGAAATTTAAAGGTGAGGGTTGTAAAAGAGATTTTGAGTACGAAGAGTAGAAAAATGACTGAAAGAAAAATAAAATTTGAGGAGAAGGAGCATTTTAAAGATGTGAGGCATTTTCATTCTGTTTCAATGATTTCTAATCCTCACACAATGTGTCAGCCTTCCCCTCCTTTTATCCTCTCTGCTGTTAACATGAATTTATCATGATAATATATTGTCTTTTTTTAATGTCATGTTCTAATGTCAAAAATTCTCAACCTCAACCATTATTTTATTAATTTCTCCTCATTCATCTCAAAGAAATAAAGGTGAGTTGTGTTGTGGTTGTTGTTGGGTTTGTTGTAACTACTGGACACCAAATAGCACCAATTCACATACGTACTGGGTGTTCATTTATATCAGAAGTTCTGATTGCCAGGAAAGAAAAGAGCTGTTCTGTTTTCTGTTTTGCATTAGATCGAGTTAAGCAAATCTGGTATACTGCAGTGTTGTAAAAGATGTTGCCCTCCTATGGAGCTTTTCAGAAAGCTTCTCTGTTTTTTGCTAATTGTGTATGATCTGATACAGTATGGAAAATGATTGCAGAATCTTCTTTCCAACCTCCATTAAATACTGTTGGAAGGCTGAGTTTTGCTGCTAGGAGGGCAGAAATCTAGGATCATTGTTTTCATCTCTTTTTTTAGGTACCCAACTGCCAAAGGAAAATGAGATTTCAGTACCTGTGACTTCAAGCTCCCCAGTTAAGGACACTGGGGATAATGTTAATCTTGCCATTGAACAGGAAGAGAAGATGAAAGAGGAACCTTTAACCATCTCAGAACTGGCATACAATCCTAGTGCCAGCTTGCTGCCCACCCCTGTTGATGATGAGATTGACATGCTTTTTGATACCTTTCCAAGAGTAGAGAATGAGAAAGATGATACAGATTCATTTGAGGAACTGGAAGCAGATGAAAATGCATTTTTGATTGCAGAGGAGGAGGAGCTGAAAGAAGCTCGGAGAGCGCTTAGGTGGAGCTATGACTTTCTAATGGGCAACATAGAGGTGAATGCCTTTGTGAAGAGTTTCTCAAGACTTCTCCTTGTAGGCCTTGGACTAATGTTGTTTGTGTTCCCTCTTCTCCTTGTTCTCTTGGAGTCGGACCTGCAAATCTCTTTTCTCCATGAAATCCGTCAGACGCCGGAATTTCAGCAGTTCCATATTGAATATTACTGCCCCCTTAGGCAGTGGGTGGCTTGCAAAATAAACTTCCTTTGTGACATGCTGGGCAGCTTTTAAATTTTAAATAAATATGATACAACTAAGGGCTATATTCAAAATTTCAGTTAGTGCCAGCTTTCCACAGTGCCCCTGGGGCCATCAGTCGGTAGCTGTCTTCATATCCAGTTCATTACAGACTTTTCAGTTAAGTTCCCTATACATACTTGTATTGCCCCTTTAGTTACGGGCTTATACAATCATTTTTCAGTTACTGAAAAGAGTCTTTATTTTAATTACATTTCAGGCTTCCTGTTCATATATTACATCATGTGAGATGAGGTCAGTAGGTTTCATTGTCCTTAGCCTTTCAATCCATGACACTAAAAGAAAAACTTTTTTGAATATACTCCTTAGTGCATCTCTTCTAACCAATGCCTATACAAGCAATGTTTATGCTGGGTTTTTGTTTTTGGTTTATTTTTCTGTTTGTTTGGGTTTTTACATTTTTATGTGTTTAAAATATTTTGGTAAATTTTTAGGAAAAGACAACTTCTGATGTTATTTAAATGTATGAATTGCTAAGAATAATGCACAAGGGCATGTAGGGTGTTTTTAGTGTTTTATCAGTGAATTGTTTTTAAACTACTGGCTGGAGAATGAATGAGTTTAATATAGCTCTATACAGAGGGTCTGTGGTTTGGGAAATACATAGAAAGTTCACTCAAGTACTGTAGAGGCTGTCTGAGGGAGGTGAAAGGACACCAAGTGCACGGAATTTCTGACAGGCATGGTTGTAAAGCATGGGGAAGCAGGTAGAACTGAAAGGAATGATCCTTCCTCTTGTCTGTCAAGTTGTCTTACACTTTATCAGTACTATGGAAAGTATTTACAAGATAGTCCAATGTGTGTTTTGGAAGAGTGAGTCTGTAGTCTAAATGTAGATAATTGTACATAACATCACAGAAGATAATAGTAAGTAGAAAAAAAATAATAATTAAAAAAAAGACAAAAACATGCTGCCAAACCCCTAGGTAAAGCAGTAGGTGAGCAACCTACTTTTAAAAATGATAGCTAAGAAAAATATAATCCTTTTTAAAAGCATTAGACTGTACAGCTGACATAAAAATATCCTACTGACTCACAGTTAAAGGCTTAAAACCGTTAAGATCTTCATCCTTGATGCCCCTTATTACTATCTCTAAGACAACATATTTTCTGTGCATACTAATATGCTTCTTTTCACATATAGCGGCTTACTTACCCTCTTCCCCTGTTATTACAATCCCAGTGAAATGATCTAATGCTGTTCTGTGTAACATGGATTTACATATCTAAAGGTATTCCAGTATAGCTTAGAGAATATGCTTAAGTAAAATCTTGTCAATGCCAAGAACGTTTGAAGGCCCTCAGATGTGTCACACTGGTTGTATTTAAGAGGA